AAATGTAAAAAAAAAATAAAAAAATAAAAAATTTTAAAAATTTTTTAAAAAAAGCCACACAACAAACCGGTTTTAGTGAGTGTAAATACGTATGTAGCCAAATGCATGGGGAAAGGTCTAGGAAGATATACATGAACCTCACAGTAGTTGTTACCTCAGGGGTGAAGGATCAGGTTACAAGGAGAGTTTTCATTATAACTGTTATTTCATTTTTATATTGAAGGATATAATCATATATTGCTTATGTAATAGAAAGTAAATTTAAAATTCTTCATACTTTTAAAAGGGCTCACCAAATTTAATTTTTTTTTTTTCAGAGAGAGATTTTTGCTATAGGGCACATGCACTCACCACAGAGACAGAAAGTGAGAAATCACTCCCCAGGGGGGATGGTCACTCTGCAATCTGCAATCCATTCTCTTCCAGTCTCCTCTCAGGATCTTGGGCATGCACACACCCCACATCCAGCATGAGTTTGAATCTACTGGATCTGGGACTCAAACTATGGTCAATCATGTGGGAATCCAGCAACATTACCATTATGTTATCTGCTTGTCCCACCAAATTTTATTTTAAATATTGTCACAGAATTGCAATCAATAGAGATTAATTTGGAATATGGAGGGGTACTTTTTTTTTTTTACATATATTGGCCTGAAAATTCTGAACAAAGATGGATCTTACAACACAGTTATGTTTTGTATTTATATCTAGAAAGAATATACTCACAGTTTCTCAGCCCAGCGGTATGATTTCCACACATTTTTATCAATATTGGAAATAGCATTTCCTTGGAAGTTTCTGTGAAGAAATTCAATTCACATTCTTGAATAAGTAGGAAAAGAATGAACAGAATAAGTAAAAGAGTCATGATAACCTCATGGAAGACAGTCAAACACAGAAAGTGATACCAGCTTTCTAATTTCCACAGCCCTTTAGCTTCCTGGATTATGCAATTAATGAAGAAATCATGTAGAGCCACTGGCATGAATGATGGGCTATCTCTTTAGAAGCTTAACTTCCTCTCTGTTCAATCTTTTGGACTGATAATGCCAGTTACGTAGAATATAATGTAATAAATACTTACATTCCACCATTATATGTCAAACTGCCTTATTCTACAAGTCAATAAGAAAATGATCAATAATTCCATAGAAAAATGAGCAAAATGTTATTATCAACAAATATGGACCCCTATGCCAGGTAACTCCAAAGTTTTGGCTAAGTGTCCTCTTTTGAAGCCAGGTAGTAGGAAGATAAGTTCAATTAGAAATTAGGTCTGTTGGACTAGCAGTTGGAGTAATGACTATGTCAGTGGACTCCCATATAGCCAACCATGATTCAAGTCCCAGACCCAATGACTTAAACTCACGCTGGGCACATGTGCGTGTGTGCCCAAGATCCCAAGAGAAGAATGGAGGAGAAGGGATTGTGACATGGCCATCCCCCTTGAGGGTGATTTCTCACTTACTATCTCTCTGTCTTTCTGGTGAGCACACACTCCCTATAACAAAAACCTCTCCAAAATTAAAGAAAGAAAGAAATTAGATGTGTTTATGTGGAAAGATCTCCTAGATATATTACATGGGGAAAAGTATACATCACTGAGCAAGAATAAAGCATTATCAGGACCAGCAGTTGGAGTAATGACTATGTCGCTGGACTCCCATGCAGTTGAACACGGTTCGAGTCCCAGACCCAGTGGCTTAAACTCATGCCGGACAAGTGTGCATGCATGCCCAAGATCCCAATAGGAGGATGAAGGAGAAAGGATTGCAGCAGGTCCATCTCCCCTGGGGGTGTGACTTCTCACTTTCTGGCTGTCTCTCTCAGTCTTTCTGTGTCCTATAGTAAAAACCTCTCAAAAAAAAAAAAAAGAGTAAAGTATTATCTCATTAGGAAAGAGATGCAAAGGACAGAAATTAGAATACACATGCAAATAGTAACAAGTTATCTTACAGGTGATAAGGGCGTAAAAATTTTCAATAGCTCTCCATAGCTCATTGTGTAACTTACAAACCCCTCTACCTGATATTCAAGACTTTGACAATCATATCTTTCATTGCTTCTCAACCCAAATCTCGGCAGCCAGATTGATCTCTCCAATCCTGATCATTTTTATAACCATGCCTTTGCCTAGGTTGTTCTCCTTATTTTCTTTTTTCTTTAACAAGTTATATGCACATTCTTTACATGCCATGTAAAGTAATACTTTATCCATGCAGGTTTCCCTGAACACCACACCTCCGTTGATTATAGATTCTGATAAATTACAGCACCTACGGTCTTCATCCTTCTAGTACTTCATTATATATCACCTTCCCTTTTGACACCTATCATTTTTGTGTTTTGGAGATAATGTCACACTACTGTGCCTCTCACAGCACTTATCCCTGAGCAGGCACAAAACGGGTACCATAAATTAAAAAGTCAGACACAAAGTTAAGTTCTGGACATTAATTAAAAACAATATTAATAGCTAACATTCAGATATAATCTAGACACTGATATAAGTATTACATATAAATTTTACAACAATCCTATGAAATGGTAACTATCATAATCCACACTTTATAGATAAGGAAATTTAGTTACAGAGTTAAATAACTTGTCAAAGGTCATGAAACAAATAAGTGACAGACTGGGGTTTAAGCCCAGGCAGGCTGGCTCCAGAATCTATTCTTAGTCCACGTTTTTGTATCATCACTAATGAGATGGGGAGACAGCCATGCTGCAGTAAAGAGGATGGAACAAAAATGGGACGAGGGCAGAGGTTGTTAAGTAATGCTATGACTGAGATAAATAAAAAATGGATAGGGAAAATGAATATGGGTAATCACAGGTAAAAGACTGGAGAAGGGGCAGGATAGCAAGAAGGAGATGAGGATAAAAGTTGACAGGCAAAAGGTAAAAAACAGAGTTAGTCAACGTACGCTGGAGAGGTGAGAAGAGGCTGGCAAAACTTAGGGGAAAAGGCTATCAGGTCAGGCAGGGACAAATGAGAAAAGGTGATTCTTACAAGATGGTGAAGGTGCCATTGTAGCTGCTGGGCTCCAGGACAGGCACTTGGTGGAGCCTCTGGCTTGGGTCAAGACCAGTACACGATAGTGTCTGATTTCTGCAGGTACAAATCTGACAAATGTCAGCATTCACGGCAGCATTCTTTTCCGTTGGCACAGCTAAATCCGTTTTAGAATCCTGCCTAACAGTTGCTGAAGAAAAACTAACTGCCTCAGATGACCCTGGGAGCTGACTTACAGTAAGTTCCAGGTCCATAGGTTGAACTGTGACTTGAGGCAGGCTTGGATTCTGAGTCTGAACCTGGTCTAAATTTGTAGCTACAGTCTCCTTTAGTGTTGTAGGATATTTAACCTCCGTTGCAGATCCTGGAGTTATGGTGAGCACTAGGTCCATAGATTGAACTGTGGTGCTGGATGATATTGCATGCTGAGCTTGACTCTGGCCTGATGTTGGGACTGTGGTCTCATAATATACTGGAGGTTGAGATACCTCCTTCTTAGGTGAGTCTGGAGGCAACGTTGGCATCTCCTGCGTGGTTGAAGAAGGTTTAATCCCTGTAGGAGATTGTGAAGCTATGGTAAGTTCCAGGTTGCTAGGTTGACCTGGGACTTGAGGCAGGCTTGGACGCTGAGTCTGAACCTGGTCTAGAAATGTAGCCACAGTGTTCTTCAGGGTGGTAAGATGTTTAACCTCCATAGTGGATTCTGGAGTTACAGTAAGAACTAGGTCCAAAGATTGAACTGTGAATTCTGGAGTTATGGTAAGCCCTAGGTCCAAAGGTTGAACTGTGCTGCTGGATGACATTGGTGGATACTGAGCTTGATCCTGACCCAGTGTTGGGACTGTTGTCTGATCATACACTGGAGGTCGAGATCCAACCTCCTTAGGTGCCTCTGGAGGCTGCACTGGCATCGCCTGCATGGCTGGAAAAGGTTTAACCTCTGTAGTAGGTTCTGGAGGTAGTGAAAGTTCCAGGTCCAAATGCTGAACTGTGGTTGGGACTGT